CATTCCTTTCCCTTATTCTAACCTTTCCTCATGACTTACATTATCAGGGTTTTATTTAGGGCCTCAATTTTTTTTTTTTTTAGTTTGGGTGTAAAAGTCTTACAATGGACATGAGTATGTGAAGATGGTGTAATGAACACTTTCAAAAAGTTTGGTGAAGGAGGGGCGGGTCAGACAGCTGGGGGAGCAGAGGCAAGGAGAACCATATCACTGAGAGAAGAAACCAGCAGGAAGGAGAAATGAGCCTTCATGGGAGAAAGGATAACCGATGGTGTTGGGCCCTCAGTGAGGAGCCAACAGAACAGTTGAAGAACCAGACAGCACCCTCGGGCAACATGCTCGCTGCCCGGAGTGCAGCCAAGGAGGACTGAAGGCCCTTGGAAATCAAAAAAAGAAAAACAAACAAACAAAAGAAATAAAAAATGGGCAACAGCACTAAGTCCCCAGTGGCTAATCTTTAAGATTAGGGTAGTGGCTTGTGATATTTTATAATTACCTTAATTAATGGAGTTCTCCCAAAAAAAAATCCAAAAAGGTAAGCAGTTATGTCATTGCAGATAACACTTGATATTGGAACAAGGAACCTTTAAAAAAAAAAAAGTCAGCAAAAACAAGTTCATATGATTAAGTGACAAGTATTTTATACAGCTTATGACTCACAATGAATCAATATAATAACTCTTTGAATTACCCTTCAGACTAGTCCAGAACATAACACTTGCCGAAACATTATTAGAAACATTAAATATTAACCACATTTGCCTGCTTAGCAATTAAGCAGATCAAAATCTATAAATAAATTAACATAGTGGGAAAATATTGCTAAGGAATATACTAAATAATCAATTTAATTTTAATATTAAATAATGAATTTCTATAGCTATGGATTTTCAAATTTCATTTTTATGAGGAACAAATTATAATAGTATAAAAAATTTTAAAAAATATTTTCAGAGAGGAAGGGAGGAGAGAGAAATAGGGATGAGAAAAAGTTTTTTAAAAAGCCAACTTTCAAAATGGAATGAGTCATTTGGTTTAGAGTATAATCTGATAAATTTATACTAAGCTCTTAATACAAATTGTCTTACAGGAAAAATTATCAATTTTAATTCTATCTTAGCCTAAAATTGCATTAAACCCTACTAATTATACAGAACCTATTAATTTCATAACTTCTTCCAGCAATTAAAAGTTTGTATATGGAAGACAATCTTAAATGATGTTAATTGTACACACATAACACCAACCCCTTGGCTAAAAATCATGAAGCTGTCATGGGAATAATTTATTTTCACAAAACCACCTGTAAAGGATTTTAATTAATGAGTGCTTTTTTAAATGTGGGGAAATTATGGTCAGATTTCTTAAAATCTTTTTTTCTCCACTCTATTTTTAACTAATAATTTTTATAATTTTAAGCTAATACTATTTTAATTTTTATTATTTTATTTTTGAAAAATCTTTATTGTTGAAAGTATTACATATGTCCCCATCCCCCCCTTGAAACTAATTTTTAACTTACAAAAATGCTTTCTGAATGGGCAAGCCACTGCTATATAGCGAGTAATTTCATACATTTGAAATCCCAGACACTTGCTCCTATACATGGACAGGGTATGTGCCACTTTCACTAGAGAAAGTGCTTTGCCAGCACAATGTTGGCAAGCAAACTTTCACGTTCTTTCTGCATCCCATGTAAATAATATGCTCCTTTTAAGAGCGATGCTTTGTAAAAAGTCACATTCAAATAGTAGTCAAGCCTGAAAGTGTAATTAACTGTTTGAAACTTTTATAAGGACTTTATTTTATTTGGAATCTGAATAAGGAAAATGCCCAGCTAACATGTTTGTCTTCAGGTGTCAAATAGTAAAATCAACAAAACTCAGTAAGGTATTTTAATGGAATAGAGCAACAACCAATAGTACATTTTAGTAGAAGTTTGTGAGACCCTGTTCAACGTGAAAGCGCTTTAAAAATGCTATGACATAAGTATAAAGCAGCATAATTCTGAGCCCTTACCATATCATGCCTTCAAACAGATTTTGGATGACAAGATGTGACTGAGTAACTGTTATCAGTAAAGTGACATGAGTCCATGCGAACTGTTAATAGCCCACAACACACAGTAGTGACACACTGATCAGTGCAGCAAGAGTAACTTTGAAACACACAATTCTAGCATGGTTTTCTTGTTAAATTTTGTAAGAGAAGGTTATACAAAATAAATGTCGTTAGCAAATTATATTCATTTTGGTGCCCACTGGAACCTTAAAACCATGAAAACATTTTTAAAAAGTAATCTTAATATACAAATGGATTGCTTATTATACTGAGCTAAATTTATAACCATATAAAAAATAAACCATAGTCTCGAACCATCGGCTTACAATGATAATAAGAAATGTATGGTGTTGTTATGACCTGAGAGGTGGCCGTTAGGGACTTTTAGCATCATCAGTATGAGTTGAATGTGAATGAAAAAAAAGACTCATGTTTCTAGTGTCGTAATTTTGATTGGAATTTATTACTCTTCAAAATTCTTAGATTTTGATTTATTCATAATAAACCTATTTTCTATTTCAGCAAATATTATATTGTGGCTTTGTTTTATTTTATTTTTATCTGCTGAAAGATCCAATTCTCTTTTACCCTGGTTGCTTAAAAATGCATAAATGATTTTTTTCCCAATAGGCACCATTTATATTTTCATAGGAGATCCTATTATTTCTAATTTGTCTTGACGGTTTCTAGATTTTTCATTGAGAATTTTACTCTTTCCCTCTCAAGGTCTCCAGAAATTAGAAAGGTAAGAAATATTACAATTTCTCAGCACTGATGCTCAGCAGGAGGTCTTAATGGAGAAAAGCAAAGCATAAAGAATAGAAAATATATCCCAAATCCAAAACAAGACGAATACATAATTTCACAGATTTAAATATTATGTTTTTCATTTTAAGTCTTATAATTAGCTACCTTTTAAGAAAATAAGAAAAGTTCATCATACACAGTGATACATTTCATAAAACACTGAACACTGTTCAACGCTAAGCTGAATAAAATACCTTAGGCTAAAAAGAATTATGAAATTTTATGACTAACCATAGCTACCAAGAAAATACATGCTTTGGTCCCTTTATACTCAACGAAGAGCAAGTTTCCATAGAGAAATAGGGTAAATATAATTAGCTTCTCAGACTAACTATTCAGAAATCTATGGAAATGTTTCAAATTTCTACCAATTTAGGGAATCCAAATACTTGGTTTTAACTTTATAGCCTTTGAGCATATTTAAAGAAAAAGTTTTTAGAAAATTTTGAAAATGGTTAAAATTTTTAAATCCTCAAAAATGTTTCAACTTCAACCTTTTGTATTTAATAGTCATCCCAAAATGGAAATTTAGGCCTCAAGGAGCAGATTACATTTTATCTTCTCACTACAGAAAAATAATTAAAGGTACGGGTTTCTATGATGTACAGTGACTACGGAACCATGATTAGTACATACCATGTAAAACTGCAGTCGATAATGTTTCTTCACCAAGCTCAGCACAAACATGCAGAAACCTGCTCAAGAACAAAGACCATGTGCTTGTTGTGCAATTGGTTACCAAGTGTAAGATTCGCTGAGTTCAAACAAGCCAATCTTCTACACCACACCTGTATACTCTATCCACTTACTCATCTGGCGTGTCTCCTACTCTTATATTAAGTATTTTAAGTAAAAGCTTCCTGCTGGAAATGATCTTGTAGTCTCCAAAACGCCTAATACATTCCAATGCACACATTCAATAAATATCCCCAAAGTTAGTTACGTGAATTCATCTCTTGCTAATAGGTGGACATGGAAAACCAGATCTTAAATTTCAGTTGAATAAAATTAATTTGCTATATCAGTCTACCAAGTGTATGTACAGAGTGCTTCAATAATGTAAAATTGAATGCTCTGCATAATGTAAAAATTAAAAATAATTACGATGGTGGCTAACATCTATTGAATACTTGTTATGTTCCAGGCTCTTGTTAAGTATTTTACCAGTATTAACTCATTTAATCCTTCCAACATCCCTATGATATAGGTACCTTTTATTATGTCAGTTTTACAGATGAAGGAAAATGCGCAAAGGACTTCACTAATTTACTAAGTGTCACCGGGCTAAAAAGCATTAAACCCTCAGATCCTATAATCCTCAAGAATCTGTGGTTCCACAAATCATTATCAGCAAGACTCAGGTTAAGAGTGACTTGAAATTTCTTAGAACCATATGATAATAATTACAGTAAAATATAATGTTCTCAAATAAGATTTACAAACAGCACTAGTGTTTATGTTTATAGTCTACAAATTTATTACCATGAAGTTTTACTAAATAAAAATTCTACCTAATTAACTGAAATCTAACATATACCAAAATAATGGGAAGCAAATATAAACACTTTTTGCCCAATATATCAGTAAACTTCTAAAGATAAGTATTTTTTTTACAGAGGTAGGTACTGGAATGCATACACCAAATTTAATTTCAGATAAATAGCCATTCATGCATTCTATTCTGCAATGTCTTTAGAGAGTGAAATCTGAGATAGAAAATAAATTATCAACTAATCTATCCTGTATGAAATAAATACTAGACTTAGTACATCTAAGTCATACTTACCAAGGCAATTCTACACACTAGTAAGCAAGGTTGATACTATTCTGACCAGAGCCACGAACCAAACAGCAGCTGCCTTCAGCTATATTCTGATGAGTGATTTGAAATGTCAGTGGAATACAAGGATGGTGACAAAGGAAGGGAATGAATACGGGCTCCCAGATCCTACCTCACCTCCTACTAGACACCTAGAGAGTAATCTGACTGGCTGAACTGCAAAAGAAATATAGAAACATTTTCTGTGTAGAGACACAATCAAAAGCCATGATGTCATTTTCTAGAGAGAGAGAGAGAGAGAGAGAGAGAGAGAGAGAGAGAGCGCAAGCATGTGGGAAGGGATTAAAACATGGAATTCGTGGCATTGAAGTAATCAGTAGTTTAAAAGACCTCTTTAAAATGACTGCTTTTAAGCTTTTCTTCTGTAGCAGGTAGACCTCTTTTGTGGCTCAAGTAAAAATGTCATTTCTATGCTGTTTTATGTCATTGGTCCATGGTTAAGGGGGCAAACGCAGATTGGACTTGGTTCAGAGAGAGGCTAATGGGGTAACAACAAAGCAGAGACAAGACAGATGTTCTGTCCAAACGGACCCCTCTGACTCTCCCTGCACAACCTTGGGAACCTTTCAATATCACTGACTAGGCATTACCTCCTCACAAATACTACTGCAACGTGTATGGTTTTCTCTTTCGTGAAATTATATAATACCATTCACTCTTAAGCATTTCTTCAAACAAAATTACCAGCAGAATCATTCTGTATTTTCTCAATGGTGATCTTATCCAGGATAGTTTTGGCAACTCACTTTTACCTGACTCAATTTCACCTTTAAGACAACCCCTAACATGCAGCTTTTTAGGGTGCTCTGATAGAATATGTAACTATCCATCCCCTAAATACATTGAGAAAATACAATTCTCTCGATTGCGGGGGGGGGGGAGTGGGGGGAGGAGGAGCAGGGTATAAAGTGTTTTTCTAGCATATGTTAGGTTAAATATTAATTTTAAAGAAAAGCAATCTGGGATCTGGGGACATAGTTGTCTTCTCCTGCCGCTGGTTTAGACGGCACTATATGTCCCAGGACCTGGTCCTTTTTCTGGCTAGCATTTGGCTCAATAGACCCTTTCTTTTAGGACAAATTTAAAAGAAAAAGAAAAACAATCTGAAAAAGAAACACATGAATTTAACTTTTTGGTTCACAACAATAAAGTTATGTGTATATTTTATGTTTAAATGTGTAAAAATACATATGTACTATATTTCAATAAGTCTATGGAAAAGATAACATTGTACGTTTAGATCTATAATAGTTTTACTTTCTCTCTAATTACAAATAATATTTGTATGTTTATATTTCCAATTAAAATCATAGGATTTATTACAGTATTGTAAATAAAAGTATTCACTGAAAAACACTTCCTAACATAGTTTTCATATGTAATTATGTTTAGTTAAACTTACTGATCACCACTTATGTATGCAGCACTATGCCTGGTGCTGTCCTTACAAAGATGTGTACATCCTGTTGCCTAGTCCCTAGGAGTTCCCAGGTGGGTAGGAAGCCCCAGTTACCCAATGGACTAAAGGGAGGTATACTGAAAAAGAGCAAAAGAGAATGAGATTTCTAAAGTAGTCAGGAAGCCCTAGTTGGTTTGGCTCAGTGGCTAGAGTGTCGGGCTGCAGACTGAAGGGTCCCGGGTTTGATTCGGTCAAGGGTACATGCCCGGATTGCGGGCTCAAACCCCAGGAGGCAGCCAAACAATGATTCTCTCATCATTGATGTTTCTATCTCTCTCTCTCTCTCCCTTCCTCTCTGAAATCAATCTATATCTATATCTATCTATGGATCTATATCTATATTTATATCTATATCTGTACATATACATATTAGGAGAAATAAAGGAGAAAAACACATTAAAAAGTCCAAAAGATGAAATAGAGGGAATTTCAGAAAAGTGGACAATCAAAAATTATTTATTGAGCACTTAAGATGTACCAGACACAAGATACAAAAATTGAATAAGATAGGCATTCCAAGGAGCTCATAACCTAGCTGAAGAGACAGAAAGTATATAGCAATAATAAAGTTTTAAAAATTTACTATTGGTGATTAACCAATTCAGTAAACACATGTAGTCCTGAATTTAAAAAACAGACAGTAAAATAGACCCAGGACTAAATAATGGAGCTTACTGACTCATCCCTCATTCTTTCATGTGGCTGTACTTTTCACTACCCTTACATAACTAATCAAAACACCAAAATGTTTCAAACATCCTTTTAAATAAATTCAGAAGCACACAGCATTGTGTGCCCATAGTCAGACACCAGATTACATCTGAGCTATTTA